TTCTCGTGTGCAACCTGCATGTCAACGCTGGGATTCTGCATCATTATTTTGTACTACAAAGCTTGCACACAGTACTTCCCAGTACTACTTTGTACTACAAAGCTTGCACAAAGTCCTTCCCAGTACTACTTTGTACTACAAAGCTTGCACAAAGTACTTCCCAGTACTACTTTGTACTACAAAGCTTGCACAAAGTACTTCCCAGTACTACTTCGTACTACAAAGCTTGCACAAAGCACTTCCCAGTACTACTTTGTACTACACAGCTTGCACAAAGGACTTCCAAGTACTACTTTGCGCTACAAACTGACATGACAACCTGCTTGGAAACCTTCGAAAAGGAGAGGTTTTGCAGCTTCCCCCATAGACACGGCGACGCCACAGGAAAACCAGAGACTCGAGACGAGACACGTGGGCGCAGCAAAACGAGCATTTCGTGCGAGACTTCCTCCAATTTTGACATTTTCGACACGTTATCAAACAGGTTGGAATGTGACAAAGTGCCGCGCTTGCCACGCAAAACGATATGACAACCTGCTTGGAAACCTTCGAAAAGGAGAGGTTTTGCAGCTTCCCCCATAGACACGGAATTAACGACGCGACGACGACGCGACGCCGACCCGACGACGACGCAACGCCGACCCGACGACGACGCGACGAGCCACTCGAGGCGAACAAGGGTCCAGCCCCCAGACCCCCAGACTATAAACGGGAACCCTTCGCTACGCATTCGGGAAAAACAAGATAATCTGGGATGAACATCCAAAATGATCAAATCACCAGCTCAACGCCATCTTACCTATAACTAATCAACATACCCACAACCTGGAATTCTGCATGCTAATAGTGATCAGCTACGTGATCTCATAAGAAAACGGGTTACATATCCAAACTCCAGAGTTCCTATGCGTTCTTGCTAAAGGCACGACTTTTGCGAAACACACTTCCCCAAGGCACAACGATTTTTTATTCCTAAAACAGGTACGACTTTGTCAGATGCCTGTATATAGCCCGACATTCCAACCACCTTTCGATCCATCAGCCGGTTCGCTCTGTCATCCGTGGCTCACAACAACCAAACTCTCCTATAGGTTTCCTATCATTGAAACTTCCGCCACCGCCTTGTGCTGATACTACTGGTATGTACTGTAGCACACAATGCAGCAGGAATCCAGGAAAGCGCGTGCTTTCTTGATTTAAACCAAAACAGAAATCTGAATCTGAACGTGCCATTTCTTAAGTCACACTAAAGACCAAGACCGCCCATGTTCGCCCGTCTTCCACCTCCGAAAACAGCCAGAAAGTTCAGCTGGGCCCAGCACCAGATATCCTGCAGCCAAATTTTCACCAAAGAAACTGGCTGGATGATTCTATACATTGCTAGTAACCAGAACTGCGCAAGGAAAGCTGAAAATCAGTGAAAATCTATCGATAAGAGATAGCACAAAAAAATGACATGCAAAACCATGCCAAAACTACATAAGTTTTTTCACCCAAACTCTTTTTTGCTGCTCGTCAGGTTCCAAGGTTTAGGGCAGCAGCCGGCTGGGGAGGAGAGTCTTCCCAGCGCGCGTCAGCAAGGAGGTTGGGAAGGAGGGTGGGGGCCCGCCCATTGCTTCTTCTCTGTGCAAAGGCAACTCTAGGAACCTGGCAGCATGGGCGCGTCCTGCCGCCATGAACTCGTCAGGTCCATGGGCCTTGTGGTGGTAGTAGTACTCTGGTGTATGGTTTGACATACTTGCGGTAGGCTCGTTGGAGTAGCTGTTTGCGGTGCTGTGAATTTCTGTTAGTGATGGTGGTTTTGTCGAAATGTTCACTGAGTGCAAGGAGTGTGGACCAGTCATTCCAGCCCTGGAGCGTGGCCAGGTTGTTGCAAAGAATTGTGCGGTCGTCGATGAAAATGACCTGATGGCGAAACGTATAGTGAACATGTCGTGCTACTGCTGAGAGAAGGATGTTTAATGCTGCTGGGCAAAGTGCATCTCCCTGGGGGAGTGAGGTGGTGACTGTGGCTGGTTGTGGTCCGATGTCTGTGCCCAGTTGAATGTATTGCTGGGCTTGCTCGCATACATGGGAAAGAAGTGATGCAAGTGCGGGGGGGAGGCCCTTTGAAAGATATGGAGTATAAGTCCCGGATGGATTCTGTCGAAGCATTTCTGGTACTGGGCTGTGCTTAACATAGTCCAATAGTACCAGGACATGGATTGAATTGGCATGACAGGCAGGCTTATACCATGGGTTTTAATTATTAATGTAGTGGTGTTGTTGAGCTTTTTTTCTGGGGATGGTGCCCCCATCCCCCGAAAACAAAATCAATCATAATACCCAAAACACCCTATGAGGTAATAAGCCAATGCTTGTTCAACTCTCGTCTCACACTATCAAATCCACCACTGCTCAAACCTTTGAAAATGCAGAAAAAGTTGAAAATAGTCAAGGGTGGTACGTAGCTGCTCTTAAGATAGTCATTGCACACGGGAGAGGGGTCAGTTGCACCCCCTCCGTGTGCATTCCGGAGCGCTCAGGAATGCACACTGCCTCTCCCCACCAAACCTTGGGCCATTGATTTTTGATTGCATAGCGCCTCTTTGATTTTTTTAACCCGCTCTTAAGATAGTACTCAATGCCGGCGAAGGTCTCCCAACGTTGCAGTCAACTGTCATTCCCGCATGGAACTGTGCCCCCCAACTGCTAGGAAAAGTCACCCCAACTTTTTTGCCCATTGTAAACGCAGCACGAAATTGAAAAAAAGTACAAAAGAAAACATAAAAAAAGACTATCATCCCAAATGTGCAAAACACCATGAGAACGCAAGTCATCCCAATGGTTTCAAACTATGGAAAACTATTAACAAGATGATTTGTTTCAATATCAAAACACCAGCATGTAAACGCATGATTCATGTATGTTTGGGTAAAATATCTCGTTTGTTGCAAGACGCATCGAATTCTAATGTTCAAAGTATAACAAGTACATCTAAAAAATGTCATCTTTTGGTTCGAAACACAATGTGAACGCATGATTCATATATGTTGTGGTATGTTTGGGTAACGAATCTATGGGGTTCTGATTTGCATCTCAACTCAATATTTCTGCAATGGGTTCCGAAAGAGGCCAAAAACAAGGCCAAAACGAGGCCTGAACGAGGCCAGAAAATAGCTTTGGACATGTCCCAAATGCTCATGGCAAAGTTTGTGTGCTGGCATGTCTCAAATCAAACAATCAAACCTTTGAGAAGCTCTGCGCCTTTGGATCCATGACCCTTCCCACCCAAGCAGGGCATTGTCCAGTGGAAAGCCAAAGGTTGGGTCAAGACCACGATTTGTGATCGAAGGGCCCCAAAGTGTCTCGCGACAAATGTTGCGCGTGACCTGCGGGCAGTTCCAACTAGGGCCTAGGGCTGTTGTGTACTCAACATACTCATCCTGGACTGTGCGTGGTTTCTGGCCAGTTGACTTTTGTACCCTCTTGATCCTTTTTGATCCATTTTGCTTCTTTGTGCACCTTTTCGGCTAAAAATGTTGTAGAATTATGGGGGCTTTAGATGCCACTTGGCTCGACTTGGCAAATATCCCCCAACGCCAACCAAGCTCGGCCTGTAGGAGCAGACATGCAAAGCACAGTCTCATGTTGGGAGATTTCAAATCCTTGAAGCTCCAGGCAGAAGGAGCCTGATAGGTAGATGCCTTGACCAGGAAAAATGCAAAACAAAAGCAGAACAACACCATGGTCACCATACATCACCTGCGGCGACCCACGGTTGGTTTTTTGTGATGTGCATGAGTCCACTGTGAGAATGGCGGATGCTGAAACAAGCCCTCGCAGAACTGAGTATGTCAAGTTTCTCATCGTTCTTCTTGCATTATCTTGCATTCAATTCATGAGATTTTGACATATTCTGACATGTTCTCTGACATGTTGTTTGTGCCAGGTCGCGGGATTCGGCAACTGCAGCAGCAAGGGCAGCATGAGGGTCATCACAAACAACCCAGCAGCCTCATGTGAGACCATCAACTTGCTGGAATCTGACAGAGGCCCCTTAAATCTAGCAATGACTAGTGCAACGGGCTGTCTTCTATGTCCAAATGTGTTCCTTAATAATATTAAGCCATGTGCTTTCAATTGCAGTCGGCAAGGCACATGACAGTATGGGCACAAAATATGCAACATATGCAGTTTTGTTCCACATAGGCATAGTAAATAGGTGTCGTCAACACCCCAGCCCCAGGACCCCAGCGGTACTATTGAGAAACCTGCGATTGCCACAGGTTGTTGAAGAAGCAAGGCCCGAGAAGAAAACCTGCTATTTTCACGTCCGCTCAAGGGAGGACAAAGGGATCACAAGATTGTCAACGACTGGCAGGTACTGGCAAATTGTATTTAATTGGATCGAAAGGAAAAGTGGCGATTGTCTGAAGTGCAGCACAAGAATACTAGGTTGCGTGGTAGTCAACAGGAAGCAAAAGAGGATTGTTCTCGAAGGTTGTCGTGGAGAAGGCATGGTGAAACATGGTGAAACAATTTGACAAACTACACTCTTTGACTGCAATAAAACATTGGAAGCCCGAGGAAGAACGAACCCATCCCCTTCCCGAAGCAGGCCCAAGCACCTGCAAGTGCTCCAACAACTGGAAAAATCGTGCGCTGTGCGGTCCACTGTGCCTGTTCAAACACGCATCTTACCAAAGTCCGTGCCTCTTTAAAGAGCAAACGAGAGCCA